AAACACCAAATGCTTGTGCATTGGGTAGTGATATTTCCCAGATTTTCCTGGCTTTGTGGCTTTGGCTGAAATCGTGTGCCTCTCCTTCCTTTGACCCATCCTGTTTGCAGTATTTCACTTCAGTTCATCAGACGGCACCTGATTAGGTGGCCTTCTGTCATCCATTCCCCACACATCCCGCCCGGCTTTGGCACCTCGGGGCTGGCCGGCCTCCAGGACCTCATCATGGCAGCAGCTGTGCTGACAGAAGAAGCGTCTCGCTCATCTTTAAATATTTTCAAGGAGTTGGACTTAATGTCACCGAGAGGTCAAGGCTCAGCCACGCTGACCCTGTGACATTATGGCATCCTGAAGAAATAGTTAATGTTTCAAGAAGTACTGCTTCTTTAAAATGAAGACCTTGACGAAGGGCAGCTATGTTTTGGAATACATGCTCTATCCTCTCTCTAGCTATGCAATGGGAATACTAATTGTAAAGTTCCAAGCAGCAGCAATATTGCCTGGCACATTGAAGTGAGCTCAATACATTTTTGTCCTCTTTAAATATTAATGAATATTTACCACGCGCAAGGCAAGGTTGGATAACTGGAGTATTGAATGGTGTCAAAATATTAAGAAGTAGATGCTCGGGGTGCTCTTGAGGAAAATCCTGGTAAATTCCTAGCTCAAATATAGGCTAGAAAGAAAAAAAAAAAGTGCCACATTACAAATCTAGGGAAGTAAGAATTCAAAAAGGGAGAGATTTGTGTTAGTGGAAACATAATGTAAAGCTTCATGGGGGAGGTGGCATTGGAGTCAAAAGAAATTATTTAAGCCAAAGAAATTATTTCCTTCCCCAGTGACAGTGATTTGGATTTCACAGGGATAGGAAAAGGGTACTTAGGTGACAGGGAGGAAGCTGAGCAAATGAAACCCACAGAGGTCATTTTGGGGGAATTGATAAGGGTCAAAGTTGGTTGGAGTATTGCCCCATTAAAGGCGGGGTAGGAGGTAGTTTTGGAACTATAGGTTAGGCACATTTTAAGGACCTGAGATCTCAGCCTTCCGAGAAGCATGATGTGGTGGAGGGTGGCCCTGATTATGAATCAGAAATCCTAGCCTGTCTTCCAGGCACCTGGGAAGGGATGGCAAAGCACGCTGGTTCTAGAAATACAATGTTCTGAGTTCAAATCTCAGAGTTTTCACTTAGCAACTCTAACACTGAACAGGTTATTTTCTCTTTCTAGCCTCAATGTGCTTATTTGTTAAATGAGAGGATTAAGTTATGTCTCTTGAGGTATAAAATTACTTGTTTTTTTGTAAATTTGGTTGCTGAAAAATGGCCAAGGTTTCCCATAGAAAAGTGATATTTTTTAAAAAGTGGGAATGTTTACTAGTAAATGCTTGGGAATGAAATAATCAGAGAATTCTTTCATTTTCATTTCCTTACTAAACTTTTATGGTTCTAAGAAAATAGATCTAGTAATACTATCTAGGATAGTTTGAAAGAGTAAAAGACTGTAGGCAAGAAAATTATTTCACATTGGGCCTAAACTGAAATTGGGATTTAAAGAAAGATAGTAGCATTTTTAAAAGGAGAGGGGAAATCATATCAAAAGAATTTAGCATCTGATTGAATGTCCATTCTATACCTAAGAAGCACAGGAAGTATTCCTTTTTTATTTACATGTTCTTTTATATTAAACTAAAGGCCTGATGCACAAAATTCGTGCCCAGGGGGCAGAGTATCCCTTAGCCTGGCCTTTACCCTCTCCAATCTGGGACCCCAAAGGGAATGTCTGACTGCAGGTTTAGGCCCATTCTCTCTCACAATCCAGGACTGCTGGCTCCTAAACACTTGACTGCCTGCTTGCCTGATTGCCCCTAACCATTCTGCCTGCCTGTCTGATAGACACCTTAACTGCTTCCCTGCTGGCATGATCCCCAACTGCCTTCCCTTGCAGGGCTGAGAGGACTAGGGGACTCCAGCTGGATGAGGTGGGGCTGAGAGGACTGGGAGCTATCATTTTGTGGCTGTGGGTACCATCATCTTGTGAGGGTGTGGCAGTCAATTAGCATATCCCCCTATTTTTATATGGGATCATATAAGTGATCTGACTGAGTGATGACTTTTATTTTTTTATATTTTATTGATTTTTTACAGAGAGGAAGGGAGAGAGATAGAGTTAGAAACATCGATGAGAGAGAGTCATCAACCAGCTGCCTCTTGCACATTCCCTACTGAGGATATGCCTGCAACCAAGGTACATGCCCTTGACCGGAATCGAACCCAGGACCCTTGTGTCCTCAGGCTGACGCTCTATCCACTGAGCCAAACCGGCTTCGGCTGAGTGATGACTTCTAATTTTGTATTACTCAGAGAGAGTTTCAAAGTATGTGGAGTGCCTAGTGATATGGATTTGTACATGTTATTGATCCAACAGATATTAATTGTGGACCTGGTATATGACAGACTGTGTTCTAGGTGTTAGGGGCATAGTAAACGAGAGAGACAAAGTTCCAGTTCTTATAGAACTTGCATTCCAGGACTGATGGGAGAAAAACAACAAACAAATGAAGACAATATTCTTTAGAAAAAAGTGCTGTGAAGAAAATAAGCCAAATGATGTGCTAGCACAGTAGGACAAGAACATTCCAGAAAGAGGGAACAGATAACACAAAGATATAAGGAGGGGGATAATGCTTTGGAGGGTTTCAGGAAATGAAAGAAGCCAGCCTGTTAAGGGCATAGTGGGTCAGAGGAGAGCAGTCAGAAACAAGAAAACAATATACACATATTAGTTCACTGGACAGGGTCAATACCAAAAACTCATTTCTAATCTCCTCTTGGCTTTGTTGCATTTTTATCGCCCAGTAGATAACATCCCTGGCAGCAAAGGGAGTTAATAGAACCGCCTTCCTTCTCTTTTCCCATGCAAATTTGGGGACTGTGTTGAAACTCCCAATTTTTCAGAGAAGGAAATTGTGGCCCAAATATACTTAGCTGCTTGTTCAAGGTCACACAGATTGTGAATGGCAGGGCCGGGACCCAAATCAGGTCTTATGATTCCAGGTCCGGAACAGTTCCCACCTCCCGCAGTGTCACTTTCCCTTCTTATGTAATCCTAAAGAATAAGAGAATTACTGGCCTCTTATCAGACGGCCTGCAGGAGAAGAGCCTGTAACTCCCGGTTGCTGTTTTAGCTAAATGACAGTGAAGAGCCCTTGGTTTGTGGCTGAGAAGGTGACACACACTTGCCTGCAGGAAGGTTTAAGGGTAGAGAAGTAGCGGGGAGTGCCTACAGGCGGAGAATTGGCAGAGTGATTATGTGCCTATTTTCCTGTAGCAGCCTTTTGCTTTAATAATCTCAGGATGTGATGCTTTTTTCCTCCCTAACAAAATCAATGTTATACATCTGTACGGAAAGGCCTGAATGCAATGAATATGCCACAAGATACCATGGCATTCTTAAAACAAACATGAGAGGTGGTAACTAAGCTGGTGTTTACACATGGGCACTGTATTAGCTATTTCTGCACTTTGACCCTCCATTAAGTGAACTGCCAAGCCTGGGCCCTTCCAAGCCAGCCTTCCTCCTTCAGTGACAGCCACACGTTCACGCTGGGCTAGAGCCATTTTCAGGAAAGATGATGATGGGCTTCCCCATAAGTGTTTCTTCTCCTTTCTGTCCTCATTCCAAGGCTCCCTTTGCTCCTGGCAACTTTGAGTTCTAGACACGCTTATTCGGGAGCCAGTTGGGATCTCTGCGAGGCAGTCCCCAGTCCAGGCATCCGTTTCTAAGCCCTCGTTAGAGAGACAGATTGCACTCCTTTGCTTTCAGAGACCAGCATCTGCTGCTGGCTGGGGGCTTGCTGCCTGATGCGGAGCCGGCGAAGGAGGAGGGAGTGCTGCCTGGCGGTGGGGAGCCAACGGAGAAGCGCTTCTCATTGGAGAGGCTCCTTTTCTCGAGCTGCCAGACGCTGCGGGCTCCGCTGAGGCGCGGAGGGGCCATTGGGGCTGGAGGAGCCGCGGGGAAAGCGGGGCCAGGCGGGGCCAGCGCGGCTCTGCAGCCGATCACCCGCACCCACCGGCGCCGGGCGTCTCCCACCCGAGCCCCCCAGTAGGAAGACCTAGGAGGACGGAGGGGAAGGAGAGCACCTTGCCGCCGGGGAGAAGCTGGAGTGACGCTTGCCTCTAACCTGAAAGTGACCCGCAGCTCGAGAGGCTCGAACCCTTTACCGCGGAGCCCCTGCCGCCGGCAGGGAAAGCACGGCGTCCGGGAACCCCCAAGTGCCCGAGGCTCCAGGATCCCGCTGGCGGGGGCAGCGCTCTGCCCGCTGGAAGTTACGGCGCTCGGGGGACGGGGGGCACTGAACCGGCGCCCACCGGGGGTGCGGCAGGGAAAGTGGGGGCGAGGAGAGCAGCCCCGAGCGCACTAGAGGCCGCGGGGTGAGTCCTCCGCTCCGGCTCCGGCTCCGGCTCCGCTGCGCGCGGGGGCGGCGGCGGCGGGGGAGCCCTGGGTGGGGGGCGCCCACGGACACTCGGCCGCCGGCAGACACCTCTCCGGAGTGCGGAGCGCGGAGCGGGGACTCTGAGCCCGGAGGCGTGGGTAAGGGGTGTTGCAACACTACTTGGCAGACATGCCTTTGGGCGGGATTTTGGCCAAAAGATAGGAGCGGGGGGGCGGGGGAGCGCCGGGGGCAGGCGGGAGCGGTCCTGCAGGGGGAGGGCGGGCGATCGGGGTAAGGGGAGGGTCTGGTCCCAGCAGGTAACGCAGCAGCCTGGGCAGCCCGGCGAGTTGGCAGGTGGAGAGGAACTCGCCTGTCAACTCTTCCTCTAAGAGTCAGCCGGGCAGGAGAGCCGGGAGGGCCGGGGAGGCGAGCAGGAAGGGGCGGCCGGGATGCCGGCGGTGGGGGGAGAGCAGAGACGCCTCGGAGAGCTTGCGGTCCTGGCTGCCCTCCTGCCTGGGGTGCGGGGGGACACTTTTTAAAGACTCGGCTCGGAGGGGGGAAAGCCTCCGTCCCAGAGGGAGGAGAGGGGAGACTGCAGAGACCGCCACTACCGGCCGGTGCCCCCCCCCCCCCCAGCCAACCCCAAAGCCAGGTGCGCCCCCTTCTGCCCACCCCCCTCCGCTCCCCACTCTCTCCCCGCCCCCACCTCCTTGTCGGTGCGGGTTTGCAGCGCTCGGCTCCTGCTCCTGCGCCTTCCCTTCGCCGCCTGTGACTCTGGCTCGCCCCTCCGTATTATGTCTGCACTCCGAAGGAAATTTGGGGACGATTACCAGGTAGTGACCACCTCGTCCAGCAGCGGCTCGGGCTTGCAGCCCCAGCAGGGCCCACAGCAGCAGCAGCAGCTGGTGCCCAAGAAGAAGCGGCAGCGGTTCGTGGACAAGAACGGCCGGTGCAATGTGCAGCACGGCAACCTGGGCAGCGAGACGAGCCGCTACCTCTCGGACCTCTTCACCACGCTGGTGGACCTCAAGTGGCGCTGGAACCTCTTCATCTTCATCCTCACCTACACCGTGGCCTGGCTCTTCATGGCGTCCATGTGGTGGGTGATCGCCTACACGCGGGGCGACCTCAACCAGGCGCACGTCGGCAACTACACGCCCTGCGTGGCCAACGTCTACAACTTCCCCTCCGCCTTCCTCTTCTTCATCGAGACCGAGGCCACCATCGGCTACGGCTACCGCTACATCACCGACAAGTGCCCCGAGGGCATCATCCTCTTCCTCTTCCAGTCCATCCTCGGCTCCATCGTGGACGCTTTCCTCATCGGCTGCATGTTCATCAAGATGTCCCAGCCCAAGAAGCGCGCCGAGACCCTCATGTTCAGCGAGCACGCGGTCATCTCCATGCGGGACGGCAAGCTCACGCTCATGTTCCGCGTGGGCAACCTGCGCAACAGCCACATGGTGTCCGCGCAGATCCGCTGCAAGCTGCTCAAGGTGAGTGCGGCCTGGCCCCCGCCCCACCTGGCCACCGCCCACCCTCCACCTTTTACCCTCCACCCTCCACCCTGAGAACCTCCCAGTCCCCTGAGTCTCACCTTCCCACAGGTAAACTTCCGCTGGGGGTGGGGATGGGGGGGTGGGGTTAGGGCTTGGGCCCAGAAAGCACAGTGGACAGTGCTGTCCCTGCTCCACTCACTGGCCTGCGCTTCCCAAGCATCCTTTGGTTGTGCTGGCATCACTTTGTGCCCCAGTGACACTTAAGGAGTGGCGTGGTTTCCCGGAGCCCAGAGGTAAATGAGTGTGCCCTGTGTCCTGCCTTTGCCTTGCTGCTTTGCTCTTTAGAGCTCTTTGGATTTGTGGCCAGTACTTTTTGCCTCATTCAATTTCGGGTACTAAAAATGAGCAGCTTTGATGTTGAAGAAATAGGTGCTGAAGTTACCCCAACTTTTACTTAGAGTCTTCTTCCTTTCATTATTTCTCCCCACCCCCCCTTCTCCTTAATAGTATCAGCATATCAGCAGGTGGATTATTCCTCTAGCCCCAATAACATTAACTGGGTCTAAGGCCATCTTTTGAAGGAACACAAAGGCCGCCCCCCCAAAAACAAACAAAACAACTCTACCCACAACAGTTAATAACGTGGAAGAAGCAACACCTGGTTCTTTAAAATTTCACTTTTATTAAATATTTTCCTAAAGAAGTATTCTGTGAAAGCCTGAGTGCTTTTCCTGTAGAGCCTCTTGTTAATTTTATTCTCAATTGCCTAGTTCTATGAAGCCCTTGTCAATTACGGATTTCACTTTAAAGCTTTTCAGCGTCCATTAATGAAGATTGCCTCCTACCATCAGCAGTGTAAATGCTAAAACAAATTGCACATAAGAGTGGTTGCTAAAGCAAAGTTCATGTAGTCGTTAGAGGGCACTACTACCACCAGGAAGAGAAGCCCACCCTAATCACCTGCCCAATTAGAGTCTGGGAACTAGGATGTTAGCCCAGTTCTCTGTGTGTTATCTACAATTCATCTTTTTGATGGATTTGGGTAGTTTCCAAGTATTCACAACTTTAAAAGGGTGTCCTTAAACAGAATCACAAATTTTTATCTGAGCCTGCATAAAGAATCATAGCCAGTTTCCGAATTCAGCATTGATAAAATGAAAATCGGATACATTTGTAAATTGAGATTTGGCTTTGAAGTTTCAACTTGCACTCTGCAAATACATATCCTTTTACATAGTCTCAATTGATGTTGTAGTTAAAAGTGGCCCAACTTGCTTTGAAAAGTTTGGACCTTGTGGCATTTACTGAGATCTTGCCCTAATGACTTGACCATGTTGCTCATTAAATTGCTAGATGAAAGCAGTTTAGTTGTTCTGTCATTCCACATCAGACACGTATTTACTATGCTTACAGACAGTGTAGAAATTAAAGTCTGCAGGGCATAGTGGAAAATTTTCAACCTGGTTCTGATGTACATGTTCATTAAGATAGCTGCAATAAATAATTTGAATAGATCATATGCTGTCTAATTAACTTCAATGAGCTACATACAGCCTTTTTATTTAACTTAGCAGTTTGTGTTACTGACCACTGTTTGAACTAAGTGAGTAGTTTGGGTCAAGCGAAGCAGTTGTGTTGTAGATATGTTTATTGCATTAATATTTGTAGCATGTGCCTGTTCTGTTAATAGAACAAGCAGTATAATCTCTCTGTGCTAGACCTACTTTGTTAATACGGTGCAGTCTCTCAAGGAACCCATGTTTATGTGTTGCTTTGAAATTCTAATTGAAGAGTAGATTACCATATTGATTGCCCTATTGGAAATTTAAAATTAGAATTTAAAGGTCATTTTACATGCTAGTTTTCCAAACATGTAAAGCCATTTATTAAAGCAAATATCCTTTCAAGGCAACATATTTTAGATGCTTTTAGACTTTATCAAGTTTTATTTTAACAAATAATTAGAATTCATTTATATATCAAATTTTTGCTTTTTTTTTTTTTTTTTTTTTACAAAGGTTCAATGAATCTGAATTATTCAGTCTCTATAGTGGTTCAGAATATTGATAATGATTTCTATGCATAAGACCATGTACCACATGTACCTTAAGGAATGTCCTGATTAAAAAATAATAAAAGATTGATAATGTGGGCAAATTTGGACCAAGGTGCTATATCAACACAAGGTGATAAAAACAACATCCAATTAAAACAATATATATGATATTCCTATAAAATATTTTGCTTTTGATTTGTTAGGAAGATAACATTACTGGAAGTTAAAATGATTGGCATGTGGTATCAATTTGTATTTAAACAAAATATGGGGAAATTCTCTCTTGCTTTTTTTTAATGAAGCAAGGCAGTTGATTGGTGGCAGCTCATCATCCAGCCAGTTGTAGTTTGCAGTTGATTTTTCTTGTAACCATGGTAAATAAAACGAATTCTCATAGTTCACATCATTTCCTTAGACTTCACTAAAAAGGAGTCATGTTTTATTAGGGAACTGATAACATTCAGCAAAATTAGGTGGGAGATTTGCTTTTAATATGTTTCCCTTATTTTTTTTTTAAGGGACTGATATGAAGTGACCTAAAACAGCCAACTATATTTTTAAAAAGATTATATACTAAATCATATAGTAATACTATTTTGATATTAGTCTTATACAGTCTTCTTATAAAAACCACTGCACATATTCAATTTCCTCCTTTAATCCCTGTTTGACATTTAAAATATTAGATTTATGTATCTTTAATACAGATAAATATACAGAATTTTAAGAAACCAAAACCCATTATATTTAATGGTAATAATTATAGTCTATATATGTTATTCCTATTACCTAATTTAATTTCACTTATACAGAGTTGGGCAAAACTAGGTTTACAGCCTGGCCAGCATGACTCAGTGTTTGAGTGTTGACCTATGAACCAGGAGGTCAGGGTTCAATTCCAGGTCAGGGCACCTGCCTGGTTACAGGCTGAATCCCCAGTGTAGGGCATGCAGGAGGCAACCCATCAGTGATTCTCATTGATGTTTCTATCTCTCTCTCCCTTTCTCTTCCTTTTTGTAAAAAAAAAAAAAAAAAAAAAAAGTAGGTTTACAATTGTGACTATGCAAACCAGTTTATTCTTGCATTATTAATTAATTATTGTATTATTTTCCATACAAATCACTGTAAACTTACTTTTGCCCATTCTGTATTTTCCTATTGAGGTTTTTCTATTTTTGCTGAATATAATCAATCATATTTTATAGTATTAATAAAAACTTACTTTTTAATAACTATAAGGCACTTTCTATTCTTTGGAAGATTGTAAAAACAAGGATATGACATTTTAATCCTTACTAGTATGAAAGTTTCCATGCATATTTCTTTTGAATTCTCTAAGTTTTGATAGAAGTTTTTATAACTTCTCTGCCCTGTTTTTAATTATTATTCACTTATATGAAAACAAATTTTACTTCAATACTATTTCTGTCTTCCAAACTTGTGAATACTAAAATGTATTTCTATATTTAAATATAGATTTTGCAATTTTATGCCTGGAACAATTGGTCTTTTTTTCTACTCAGAAAACAAAAAAGAAGCAGATTTAATTAAAAACATTAATATACCATGAAGTTATTTTTATGTTAATATTAAAAGTTATCAACTCTTTAAAGATGAATATTCTTCTTTTCCTATTTTTCTCTTCATGCTGATTTTTATTAGATTTTTATATTTATTTTAGTTTTTCTTTTGACCTAAAATATAGTGACTAATGAACAGCAATGTCATGTTAATACAACATCTAGTTGAAAGTTTTAATAAAAATGTCTGGATTAGGGATTGAGATTGATGGCTGAAATGTTGGCCCCTGTAATTTACTATTGGATATCAAGAATTTGGACATTTCACATCCTTCTTTATACAAATCTAATACTAAAGGTTCACTGCCCCAGATTTACATCTTATTAAGGGGATGATTTTAATTGTGTGTTTTTTTAAAATATATATTATTCTGGAATTTACAAATTTATTCATATAAGTTATATATATATGTGTATATATATATATGTATATATATATATGACATATAGGCACTCAGCTAATCCTTATTCACATAAAGTAAACCTAATATCAACTATTATTGGATCCATATTTTGAAATAGATAAGGAAAAGAGTTTTTTATGAAAGTGTATTTCTTGACATTTTTATTCATTGCAGGTAGTCATTGTCTTCCTTTCCTGGGAGGTCAGCTGTGCAACCCTTAATTTTCACTTATGGAAAAAGTAATGGTGCACAGTCCTCTTCTAATGTATCACATGCATTATTTTTGTATCACTTTTTAAATTCTTTATTTGTATGGACACTCAAAATTGGGTGTTATCTGGCTTACTTATATAAATGTGAACAAGTGAAGATGAAATAAAAACCAAAATTGTTGGACTCTTTCACTGATTGAGCTAGGGCAGTTTGCACTTTAGTTTTTATCTTCTTCTTTTTTTTTTTTTTTAAATTAACCCCACAAATGATCATTTAAAAAAACAGGTTTTCTGAACATCATACAAGATGTTAATAAAAATATTCAAGGAGTCTAGAACTGAATACCCCAGAATTCTTAGAGCAAGATCCTATAATTTGGGTGAATTTTTTACATGGATTAATTATGACGGGAAAAAACAAATAAACAAACAAAAAACAGAACACAATTCCTATTTAGTCTAGCTTTGTTTTCTCTGACACAAGTACAATAATTTTTAAATCTATAATTGTTATTATTTTAAAAATACAGTAGTAATATGTTATTTTGTTTGCTTTTGTTCTTTACTTTTAATTTATCACTGAGAAGTACAGGGTGGCTTGTACTCAGGAGATTACAGTGTGAATAAATAAGGGAAATAAAGATCCAAATATAAACAGCAGTGGGTAAGGAGCAATGATAAAGGGAAGCAGGAAAAAGCACTTAATGCATGTGAGGGTGCTTGTAAGTAGGAGGGTGCTTGTGCA